GACCAACTATAAAGATAGCAGTTTAAATGAATCAAACTTCGATATCTAAAGGGAAAATGAAAGTAAATACTGTGAGTGTAAGGGATGTCAAATTCCTCAATCAAAAAGACTGAAGCACATGTCCTGCATCCAAAAAAGAAATCAGAAGCAACTTGGTCAGAAACAAGTTTCAAAAGGCAATTGAAATAATTAATTAATGTAAATTTGTTGCAAGATTTCAAGAAAATATACTTCATCAGACTCCTCAACAACTTCCTTCTTGTCCTCTTTCTTCTCAGGCTCGGCAGCAACAGAGGCAACAGCAGGAGCAGCACCACCGGCTGCAGTTGGTGCGCCCACAGCAATTGCAGCACCGGCACAAGGAATTGATGCCATCTTCTCCCTTCCACAGGCAACAATCTCTGCTAAATCTGTGCCCTTAACTTGGGAAAGAAGCAGCTCAATCCTGTCATCTTCAACCTCAACTCCAACTGCACGCCATTAACAATTCAACTTCTTCAGAGGTTGTTTGAACAAATCTATCAGATGAAGCGCATGCAAAGGACAGACTAAACCAACCCAATTGCTTTAATGTTTAACAAAAGTACAAGTCAGATGGAGTATTTAAGTTAAGTCCTGTATAGAAATTAAAATCGAATTAATCTTACCAATAGAGATATGGGTTTAGAATAACTTGGATACATTAATAATGCAAGATACATATATGGGGGAACAATGCAACTCAAAGGCAGAAATCCATTGACTCGAAGACATATAGAGTCGTATAAATTCAAGTATTGGCCAATAAATAAAACTCCTCAGAGTATACTGATAGAAATTGAATCATCTTCCAAAATTTTAACAGATTAAGATTTTAGGTGAATGTTAATGTGATCTTTAACTCTGTAACAAAGCTTGTTTACTTCTCTCTTCCTTTTCTATAGCCTTTGAAATTATCGACTTCTTAAATGATCAATGTTTTCGATATTAACGAACGATTTCTTCTGAAATCTATAGAAATACTTCTAATCACATGTATATTACAAACTAAAATCGATTTTCCAGTGTCAAATAGCAATGACAAGATAACCCTAAAATGACCAAAAAGTCACATGGCTGATTAACGAAACAGAAATTAAAGACAAAATAATACTCAGAGGAAAGAACAAAAAACAATAGATATAATCATGAGAAGGAACCAAAATCGCAGATCTGCAGAAAATGTTAAAAGTAGAGTAAAGGAAAAGAGAATACCAGAGCCGAGGATGGCCTTAATATGATCAACAGAAGGGCTATTATTTCCGCCCAAAACAGCAAGTAAATACGCCGCAACAATCTTCATCTCTGCAAGTCTCCCAAAAGAAAAAAAAGCTCGAATCAAACGTTAAACGTTCAAGAAATCTATTAAATCGAGAACGATTAGAATCGTAAGAATCAGGGGAGATGGAAGAACATACCTGAGACGGAAGTTTTTGATCTTCCACCAGAAGAAGAATTGAAGCCGCGGAATGTGATGAAGAAATCGCAAGATTGGAGTTACAGAAGGCGTAAATTTGGAGCAATTTTGCTAGTAATAGAAGTTTGGATTCCCGCGTAAATCGTTGTTTGAAAATTTTAATTTCTCGAAATATTAATGGCAAAGAATAATATGAGATCCTTTCTTTTTTGAAAATATAATATGAGATCCTTTTTCCTTCTTTATAAACTAATTATCTCTTATCTTCTACGTTGAAAAAATGGAAAAACAAATCTAAAAGATTTTGTAAATAAATACATGTTTGCATAATGAATTTTTTTGCTGATTTTTTCTTTTAATTTTAATGATCGTATCTTCATGAATATCTTAAATCAATAGGGGCTTTGATTTTGAATTTATGTTTTCAAATATTAAACGTATATGTTTTATGTTTAGATTTTTATTTTTTCGAAAAACATATTTGAAATTTAGCTAACTTTAAAAAATAAATTAAAACACTAAAAGGTTAAATTATATTAGGGTTCTATGCGTCATTGTGTTCGACTTTCGTTGTATTAAATAAATTTTTAAAATTTGATTTTCAATTTTTTTTTATTTCAAATTTACCTTTTTTTTAGATTCTCAAGTATATTTCATTGATATATCAACATTCGTATGATGTATATGAGTAGTTTAGTTAAGTGATATACTTCATACTTTATACCTTTATTATTAATATCATATCATTTAGTATATCAATGATGTGTACTTTACATATCTTATACGTACATCAAAGAATATCTAATATAACTCGATGTATTACATACTAGATATATTTAGTTATAATTGATTACATCATAACTAATATACCTTGTATGAATTACATGAGGTATATTAGTTATAATTGACATACTCCTTATATAAATTATTAAATACTTGATATACCCAATTTGAAGTACATTAAGGTACATCATATTGGTAATTTTTGCCATGATTTCATCGTTTTCAATGCTGAAAGTTGTTATGATATCTCCTCTATCAATTTATTCACGATACTTCAAAGCATGTGTTCCTAAGGTGAGAAATTATTTTCTTTCCTCGGTAAATTTCATAAAATTCAGGGTATTCAATGAATGTTAAAGGTTGTAGCTTTTATTAGATATCCTCCTAACCAAATGTACCCGCAAATTGTGAATGACATTTCTTAATTCCAAATGATAAAATATGTCCAAAAGATAATTTTTTGAACAATTACATTTGAGTTAGGGAAAAAGTTTGTATGATGTTCTTTAAAATTTATAATTTTGGGTAAATCCAAACTTTCAACCCATAATTCCAAACAAAAATTTATTGTTAGTGTATCATTGGTATATCGGTATTTATAACAAATATATCAACATTCAAATCATGTATATCAATTGTATATAAAATCATGTCTATCGATGATATATCAAATCAAGTCTATCAATAATATATCAAATCAAATATATCAATGGTATACAAGCACACATATATATTAGTAATCAAACAAGATATATCAATAATATATTAGAGTGTCAATAATATATCAGTAATTAAATAAGATATATTAAATAATAAAGCAGAGAATAAGTAGTATGACTTTGAGGTATATCAATAATATACATGAGACTAAGTTGTATAACTTTGAGTTATATCAATAATATATCGGACACTAAATAGTATAAGTATAAGGTATATTAACGATATATTCAGAAATTAAATGGGTTTGGCTACGAGGTATGTCAAAATGAGAGAGGCTTGATGGTCTGCTAACTTTTTCTTTATTCTAGAACCGTTGGTCTCCAAATTTTGCTATTTTTTGTAAAATTAAAATATAGTTGATAATTTTACAAATAACTATTATGTTTTTTGTACTAATTTTGCGAACTCATCGATTTTCAAATATTTGGACAAAAATTGTTTTTGTTTTCCCTTAATATGCACCTTTTTTTTTTTAATTTCTTTAAACCGTAGTTTACGTAATGATATAATATAGAAAGAAATTAATTGGTTGTACTAAAAAAAAAGAAAAAGAAATTATTTGAGGGTCCCCAGCTTTTTTGTCCGAGAGCCCGACACCCAGCGACCATTTGTCAATAATAAAATATAAACGAAAGATTTTTTCATTCATAAAAGAAAGAAAAAAAAAAGAGAATTGATTTTTGATTAATTATTAATATGGGCAATTGATTGATTTATTTATTTTTATGAGTACATGTTTGTTTATTAGTTGTCACGTACAAATACCTACAATGATATGTCGGTTGGATAAAAGTAAAAGTGTCTACAGTTTATGATTGTTGAATGTCCATTAGAATTTTCAGAGAAATTGTTGGAAAATCAAATAGTTTCTTATGGCTGAAATACTATTTTTGTCTCGAGGAGTTTCTAATTTTTAATTGATTATTATTTTTAAAATCAAAATCATTTCTTTTAAAAATGTATTTTAGAAAGACAAAGTCATCTTTTTTTTTTAATTTTAAACTTTTAATTTTATCAAATTAAACATTAAATTTGAATTAGCGCTACATTTAATACCTCATCAAAACTAAATTAGAAATTTGATCTAAACCAACTAATAAATAATACAAAATTATTTTGTTTTCTTTTGATGAGAGGATGTGCAGAATATTGAAAATGTATAATATTTGGAATGATAAATAATACCTTGACTTTTGCTTATGTTAATGTACAAAAATTCAATTAATAAAGCACTTAATTCATGTCACATAATTATTCTCAATCCAATTACGAAAATACTCGAACTTCGTCACAAAATTAAGCACGTAAAAATATTCCTGTTTAACAACAAAATGTACAAATCAAACTAATTAAAAGCATCCAACACAATTGGAATAAACAATACGTGTAAATATATGTAAATATATATATTCTCATTGTTCAATCACAAGAGTGCAAAGATCTAATTGCACGTTTTTTTTGTTAATAAAAAGAAATTTAACTAATCCATTGTACTAACTACATCTTTTGTTCAAGTGTGTAAAGTTTAATTTACGATACTAATTCAAATGTAGAATTTAAATTAAATGATTCACTTACCTAGGAACAAAATAAAAATTAAAAAGTTCAACGTACAGTAGATAATTGAAAGAGACAGAAATTTTACTTATCTCCACAAATAATAATATAACACATATTTACATATATATGAGTATTAAACAATTCCACATGGCCTTTTTGAAAAAAAGAAAAACAATTCCACGTGATATGATCCAAGAATTGAAATGAGCCAAAATTTGTTAGAAAGGCTATTGATATGACCATAATAATTCATTGGGTAAGTTTTTAATTGACATATAACAATATATTTACTTTTAGTTAAATCACCTAAATAGCATAAATAATGTCTTGTCTTCCTTTATAGCTCCTTGGATTTTCAACAATTAATTTATTTAAAATTGAGGTGTTGCTTTCAGAATATATAAAAGATTTCAATTATTCAACCATTAATTTATTTATAATCCAAGTGTTGCTTTCATTAGAATATATAAAAAATTTCAATTAATTAAAATAACACAATCGATCATGACTTTGTAGTACTATGAAGAGTACATTTTTACCGGTTATATACAATAATTTTGATGTTTTCTCAACCATTATGAGTAGTTTATTGGTGGTATAAAGTTGACCTGAACACTCATAGATATTTTCTTATAGAATAAAAGGAGGAAAATTAGCGACCCTGTTTCATTTAATTTAAGTTTTCTAAACCCATTTTCTGGGTGTTTCAGATTATTGTAATAGAAGAACTCTGACTAAGAAAACACTTTTAAAAGTAAGTGTTCCCAACCCATAAAGTGTGAAATTAAAATTTTGTATTATATGCTAACATAAACCCTAGGGTGACGTAAGAACAGATGGTTGACCTTTTGGAATGACTTTATGACATATTATTTTATTGGTTTTGGATTTCTTGCTTTATAATAAATTAAATAATCGCATTTTTTCCTTTAACCTCTCCGACGTTTTGTCTCATTCATTATTTTTCTAAAACAACACATCTTCAAAAATACAATCTTTGGTGCATATAACAAATTAGGTAAAGATAGACCTAATGTGATTCAGATGTTGTGTTAACCTTGGGGAACAATGGACAAAAATATGATTTGCATCAAAGTCGTATCGAATTTGCTTTCAAGACAGTGGAATCTACGATACAAAGACGTTTTGTTTTATTCTGTTTTGGTGATTTGCTTCTTTTTGTTCTTATAGTAAATTAACTCGAAAATTTCAATTTAATCTCAGGTATTTTGTAGTTTGAACGTAGTTTTAATTTAGGTCGGTAAAAATTTACATGTACGAAATATACATTAGCGAGAATAGAAAGGGGTGTGATGGGTGTATGGTGTGTTGGGTTTGTGGTGGGTGAGGGGGCATGGGGTGTGGTGTGCTAAAACAAAACAGCCCATATTTGGGACAGCCAAGTGAGGCAGTGAGTACTCCACCACTCACCAAACTTGCCTCAAAAGCTCCCTTTTGGACTCAATCATTCATCAAACCCTACGCATGCATGCTTTTCTTTTTCCTCATTATTACCTCTTCTCAAAATAGTTTGTCTTTGTTCTTTAAAATCAATTACGTCTTTAAACTTTTAACTCTAAATGAGTATTTTGTTGCTAAATCTAATAATTTAACTTAAATTTGATTAGGAATTATGTGATTTGCAACATGATAACTCAAATATATTAGGTAGATTAATTTTTGACATGCGGGTGAATTAAAATTTATTCCTCAAACCCACTCTATTAGTTTTGCTCATTTGAAATTAGATCACTTGACACCATATAATAAATTAATATCATCGATTCATAATGGACATACAATTACAAGTCGTTAATATAGCGGAAGCATTGTAAAGTATAGAGACTAAATAAATAGAAGAAAAAGAGAAAGAATATGGGAAAGACCAACGGACCACACCATATAATAATTAAATATAAATCAGTCGCCTTGGAAAAGACACTTTGTGCTCTCATAGTGCAACACTTGGTTCCACTTCTTTAATTGCTTTCCCTCCCATTTTCTGTGGATATTGTTTTTCCCTCTCTCTTTTTGCCCTTTTAATTTCCATTTTAATCATATCAATCTCTAACCTCATTTCTTTTTACCATTATAATATTCCTCTAAGAACTCAAATATATATATATATATATATATATATATATATATATATATATTTACATCAAGGTTTTAAATATCGATATTTTTTAATTTCATGAAAATATTAATTGAAATATCGATAAAATGTCGATGTCGATAAATATTTATATAACAGTTACATAAATTAAAAAATCGTAAAAAATATTTAAATTAATAAATAAACATTTTTCTATTTTTAAATAAGTTAATGATTAATATCAATATATGTATATATCAGTCACATTCTGTTGATATTTTTTTCTATTTTTCTGATTATTTTTGTAAGATGACGAAAATGTCGATGTCGAAACAATCAATACATGAAAATGTTGATGTGTCGATCGACATTTAATAGCGTAGTTTACACAGAAGGAAGCAACTAAAAAAAGGTTATTCTTTTTTTTTTTTTAATGTATTGAAAAATACTACTCATCCTTCACAAGGGTTGGTTTTGTTTTGCATGGTGGTAAAATCAAAATGCACTAAATTAAATTAAGGAATAATTTATATAACGTATGATGATTGATGAAGAACTATGAAGAGGTTGTTACTTGTTAGGTGAAATTTTGGGATTTAAATAATGGAATGGAGAAGACAGAGATAGCATTTGCATTGCCTTGCCAGTTGCGCCCCATTAGAAATTAGAATTGAATGCAGAGCAAACGCGGTGTATGAACCCTCTCCTTCTCCAAATAGATTTGTTTTCTCACGTCCACAACATCCAGGGTTTCATTCCTTGACTGCAGCTCAATTTCAATGGAGGTTCAAACTCAGAGCTTCTCAACAACCTTTGACCGCATCCCACCCACCACTCCTCCCTTTTCCTACTCCTTAAACCAAATGGGTCTGCCATTCTCCCCCGCCCGGACTGAAATGCCGGATTCCTCCGCCGCGGATTTCCACTCCTGCCATCGGAATGGAATGCCCTCCACGTCTGACGTCGGCGGCGTTCTCCCTTCCTTCGCCGTGAACTCGTCTCTCGTCCACCAACTGACGGAGCCGACGGCTGCCTTGAAGCTGCAGAAGGTCTACAGGAGTTACCGCACTCGCCGGAGATTGGCAGATTCCGCCGTTGTGGCAGAGGAACTTTGGTAACCCCCCTTTTGCCCTCTTCCGGTCTTGTTCTTTTTTTCTATTGACACGATTTAAAATGGGGATGGGCTGGTTGGATTGAAGGTGGAGGGCTATAGACTATGCGAGACTGAATCACAGTACGATTTCGTTCTTCAATTTCTCGAAACCTGAAACTGCTTCTTCCCGATGGAGCCGGATTATGTTGAATGCTTCCAAGGTATGAATCTAAAAACGATGCGATTTCATGTGGGTTTGTTTGTTTGCTCATTGTTTTTCGTTCGGCTCTGTAAGATTTGGACATTTTGGCAGGTGGGTAAGGGATTGTCCAAAGATGGGAAAGCACAGAAGTTAGCATTTCAGCATTGGATCGAAGCCGTAATTTATATCTCCATTATTGAATTCCGATTCTTAGTACTTCGAAATTCTCTCTGTAAATGGGTTCTTTCTAAGACGAATTTGGTTTGCAGATTGATCCACGCCATCGCTATGGTCATAACTTGCACCTGTACTACGAAGAGTGGTGTAAAGGCGATGCCGGTCAGCCATTCTTTTATTGGTGAGAGAGTTTAAAAGCAAAGAATCTCTCATCTTCTTTCCAAATCAATTTTCCTGCTCTAAACTATACAGACGAGAGCCATAGCTGAAAAGTTCCGTCTGAAACTCTGTTTTTTATTTTCTATTTTGTTTGTTTATAATTGCTATGGTGTGATTTCGCTTGGTTAATATAGCTTAACTAGTTAAAACATATATCTCCGACCAAAAGTTCGTGGGGATTAATCCCCACTTCCATGTGCGAATTGGTTGTCTGAAGAATGTTACATGATCAATCACATAGTTTCCCTTCCATTTCTACGCCAAAAAATTTACGATGTTCTAACAATAATTGTTAATTTGCTTGTGACCACGCAAGTTAAGGCAAAAATGTTTCTGTAAGAATGTTTATTGATTTTTTGATTCTTGTTTCGCTTTGTAAAGAAGGTTTGCTAATTAATTGCTCTGATATATAATACTCTGTTCTACAGGCTGGATGTAGGAGACGGAAAGGATTTAGAACTAAAGGATTGCCCGAGATCGAAACTTCGGCAGCAATGTATTGTGTATCTTGGACCTGTAAGTGGTTTCATTCATTATAAAATCAGAGTTCTTCCTATTGAAAAAGGATCGACTCAAATAATTATTTACTTTTTCTTTTTTCCAACTATGATTGAGTAACAAATTGTCAAGGTCGTTTTCAGCAAGAGAGGGAAAATTATGAATACATAATTCTCCAAGGCAGAATCATCCACAAACAATCTGGGAATTTGTTGGACACAAACAAAGGCTCTCAAGGAGCAAAGTGGATATTTGTGATGTGCACTGCCAAGAAACTTTATGCTGGTCAAGTGAGAATTTCACACATTTTGCCTTTAAGTTTTGTTTTCTAGCAATGGTGATAATAACATGTCAATGTCTTACAGAAGAAAAAGGGAATGTTCCATCACTCTAGCTTCTTGGCTGGGGGCGCAACATTAGCAGCGGGAAGGCTGGTGGTCGAGGAAGGAGTTCTCAAGGTAGGGAGAATGCACGTATTTGTTCGTGGTGCTCGTGTACTGTAGAGACATGAGTTGTGAATTATCTTCCTTCCATTCTTACATACGAACGTACTCAGTTTTTAGAATGTCAGTATCAGGGCTTTAACACAGTGTGCTGATGTTAATGACTTTGTTGTTTAGTCTATATCAGCATACAGCGGACATTATCGGCCAACCGACGTCAGTCTTGCCAGTTTTTTAACCTTCCTTCATGTCAATGGAGTAAATCTCAATCAAGTTCAGGTATTTCTATTTCCGAGGGTTTTCGATACAGTGAGAATTCCAAAATGGCGCAGACATAAACATGACAAAGATGATTCAGGGTGTGACCAGCATTTCACCTTTCTATTTAATGTCTTCAGATCTACAAGGCCAATGAAGATTCTGAAAGCTATGGCCGTGAAGGTGGAGCCAGCTTTGAATCTCCTAAAGCTGAAATCTTTGAGGAAGATGAGAATGATATACCATCAAGCAAATTAGCCGAAGTTTCCAAAACCGAAACCAAAGCAGAATACCAAAGGTCATTATCTGGGGGTCTGCCAAGTCCGAGATCCGAGGTCCCTACGACTGCCATATTGCACCGGATAAATTCCAAGAAAACAGCAAAATCATATCAATTGGGGCATCAACTCTCACTCAAATGGACAACGGGTGCAGGTCCAAGAATCGGTTGTGTAGCTGACTATCCTGTGGAGCTAAGAGTTCAAGCGTTAGAGTTTGTTAACCTATCTCCACAAGTTCCCTCAACACAAGGTTCAAATGCTGCATCAGCAGTTGTAAATTGCACGTCTGAATTCTGCAATGGCGACCGGGATTGTTCCTCTGGAAAGTAAAGTAATATTCCCCTGCTTTCTCTGTTTCATGCTTGATATATTATGTCATACATGTACTATGTAGATAGATATCTCCCGTCCATTCTCTTTTTTGTGAGTGCTGTTTTCTGAATCAAGTCCTCTGGACATTGTAATATGTATCCAACCCTTCTGCTATATCATATCCTGAGATCTAGTAAATACAAAAACATACTGAAATCTCTGTTTATGCAAACCTGTAGAATCTTTGGAGCGTAATTTACCAAGGAGATGTTTACTGAATACTTGTTCATGATTTTGTGCTACAAAATTATGAAAATGACACCAGTGAGGTACAAAATATTAAATTTCCTTGATCTTTCATTCTAGCCCTCCATGCTGTAAATTAAGAAAACGAAGCAGAATTTTGTGGACAAAAAGGAATGAGAGAACAAATTCATCAATCATTATGTACAAGGAAAATAAGTTATGACGCCGATACTGAAAACAAATACTGCATCTCTTCTAGTGACTGATCATCTAGTCTGAAATGTCACTGTTACTGCTGGCAAAGACCAAATCAAAACTTACATCAATAACTGCCTACAGATGAGAATATTGCTTGTAACGATGTGTTTAGAATCGGTCCACTCAAGCAAAGCTGATAGAATCTGTATTCCTTTTGGCATAGGATTTCCCTTCACCACAACTTTAAATGTCTTCCTTTCGTGTGACTTAGCAAAATTAAGAGTGTCTGGGAAAACTTTGACAGAGAGGCCATCTGGGGATGTTATATTTGCCCTGTACAACGATGCTCCGTACCCGACATTAGTCACTGTCCGATAAAAGACCGCGTCAATGGCAGAACTAGGATCGGAGAGCTGTTGGTGCATTGTAGGGTAGTTAAGTCCATCGGTGCCTCGTGCAGGCTTCAACATGGAGCAGTTATACTTCTTGCTACCAACAATTAGGCCAATTGCTGTGCTGTTGTAGCCTTGTTTGCAGAGGAAAGAGACGTAGGAGTTGAGTGAAATATCATAAACAAGGCCTGGATGCACTGCCCTTGTCGGATTTATTTGTCCTGCTCCAGAGCCAAGCTCAGCTTCCTTGAATTTGATCTTCATTGGAGTCGCTACAATCCACATCACAGAAGAACCACCAATCAGGCTTGAAGAACACATTAGCAGACAGAAACAAGGCGATACGAAAGACTCACCAGTCGTCATGAGAGCAGACTTGACAGCAGCAGGAGACCAATCGGGGTGGAACGACTTAACATAGGCAGCAGCCGCGGTGGCATGAGGACAAGCCATGGATGTACCTGCCATTACCTTGAATAAACTATATCTACTGTCGGACGTGTCCCCTGTTAAGCTCGCCAATTCTGTATAAGCAGCCAAGATGTCTATCCCTGGTGCAGCAAGATCAGGCTACCCCATAGATAGATAGAAGAAACTCAGTCTTTTTCAAAAGAAAGAGAGAGATCAGAGAAAATTTCATGTGTTTATACCTTGAGAATGTTGCGGGTGATTGACTGCGGCCCTCTAGATGAGAAAGAGGCAACAAAAGGAGCAGTGATTTTTATAGTTCTACTCTTATAGATGACAGCTCTAGGATTCCTGAATTAATCAATAAATTCAAAAACAGGCGACACGACACTACAGTACACAAAAAGAGCAGTAATTTTGGTAGTAAAAAAGGCGTGTACTTGGTGGAGTTGATATAGAGATCAACAGATTTGCCAGAGATAGAAGGGATGGCAGCCCCGGGGAGAACGAGGATAGAGGAATAATCAGTTTGTGGTTGAAGAAGTTGAATGACTCCAACGCCTCCCAAGGATTTGATGTTGGGGTCTGCGTAATTTCCAAGGCAATACACAATCCTTCCCTTCACTTTGCTCTGGCTAAGAGCTTCGGCATCACAAGCACTGCCATGCCATGAATTTCAGTTTTGATTTGAAATAAAAAAGGAAACCCCATTTTGGAATGATGATGTTCATTACCTTGCGTTTCCTCGGTTGGATCCGGCGGTAGCGTTGGCAGCCTTGGCCCCGCTGGTTAGAGGCTGCATTTGTTTGCCCCCCGAGAAAGTGTTGATGGAGAATCCCTACCAAAATTGATGTAATTTAATTTTCAATATATTTAAGATGCTATCTAATGGAACCTGTATGTGTTAGATTAGAGAGATGAGAGACTTACAGTAAATTTGCTGCCATTACCGAGTTGGAGAACGGTGATGAATCTTCGATCAATGGCGGTTGCAGCGACGGTCATGATCCAGGGCGCGACATTCTCGACGGTGGACAACTGGGGGCCGTAGTTGCCGGCGGCGGAGGAGGTCAAAATCCCCTTCTTCATGGCGTGAAAAGCCCCAATGGCCTGGCTGTCCCTGAAGAGGTCCATCGGCGGGGAGCCGATGGAGACGGAAATCAAATCCACGCCGTCCGCGATGGCCTGGTCGAACCCGGCCAGCACGTCCATCTCGCTGCAAAAGATACTCCAGCACACTTTGTAGACCGCGATCCGAGCCGATGGCACCCCGCCCCGAGCCGTCCCTCTGGCCAGCCCGTACAGGCTGGCACCCTCCACCGCAGACCCCGCCACCGTGGACGCGGTGTGGGACCCATGGCCCTCCGTGTCCGCCACGCTCCTCGCCGCAGCTGGGTTTTGGTCGTCCAGATCGAAGTATGCCGCGCCTATCACTTTGTTGTTGCAGGCGCTGAAGTTGGCGCCAGTTACGCATTTGCCCTTCCATTTGGCGGGAGGGGGCCCGTACCCTTTGTCACTGAAGCTAGGACTATTTATCCAAATCCCTAACATCAAAACCAATTGCCCCTTAAATCATACTTCATGCATGAATTAAATTTATTCAATCTATCGATTTAAGTTTTTGAGTTGAAGGATGGTTTATTCATTTTTAACATGATATTACAGTAGAAAGTCTGTGCGAACTCCTGCAATTATGATTTTCATTTGTTGGGTCATGTTGTAATTTTCTAAGTACACAAGATTTTGAGTTGAGAGGTGGTTTATTCATTCTTAACAAAGAGAGGTCGCAGTTCATGTATTTATAAACCTTGTTTAGTCTCTTGATCTATCGATCTTATTGTGTTTTTAAAATTTAGATAACTGACCTGTATCCAAAACAGCGACAATGAGATTAGCCTCAAGGGAAGGGTTACGTTTAGAGCGTTTATTGAGTCCCAAAAAGTCCCAGGATCTTGTCGTTACAATTCTTTGCTTTCTGCTCCGGAACACCGAAACCACATCCTCACGTTCTGCATGTGCACGTATGTATTATTATTATGGACGATCAAACAAACGACGTGTCGAACAAATTAATATATACTTGAGATCTTGTCGGCTTCGTGAGGCAACAGTCTGGCCGCGAACCCATTGAAGCTCTTTCCGTAGCTGTGGATTTTCGACTCTCTCGCTGTCTTTTCACTGCCAATTCTCTGTATTTAGCTTACAAACTTTTTCGACTCAAGCAAAAAAAATATAAATTAATTCTATAAGTTTGGATTGTGTAACGTTTCATCTAGATTTACATAACTTAAGAATTTAATGAGTATAGACATTCAACTTTTTGAGATGTCTCTTTGAAGTAATCACATTTTAAGAAAGCTAATTAATTAAATGATTCATCTAAACAGTAAACACACTTGAGTTTTTCTAGTTATTTTTTATCATTGAAAATAAAAATGTAAACAATAAAAAATACTTACTCCCACTCATTATAATTTTGACCAAATACTATCATTTTTTTTAGTCAAACATTTTAAATTAAAGGCATGCATGGCAGGTGCATATCATACATTATCATAGTTCTAGTTTTGCACATTACAACTAGAAGTCAAATAACTCAGATCCGGAACCTTACCTATACTGCATTGGTACTACAGAAACACACATATATATATTTGGATAATGCCGTACTATAAATGAGGTATTAAATTTCTATCGACATTTTTGCGCATCCATGAGTTCGACATCGACATGAGAGAAAACTCGACATTTCTATAGTATTGCAAAAAAAAAAAAAAAAAGGACAAAACATGAAAAATATCATTAATATAGACATAATGTTAATATTAATTATTTTTAACTTGTTTAGAAATTGTGAAATGGTTATTTGTTAATTCAAATATTTTTTATGAATATTTTATTTTTTACAACATTTCTCGAAGTATCATCAACATTGACATTTTATCGATATTTCCATCGATATCTAAAACTTTTACTGAAAGATCTTTGTATGACATCTATAAAATGACATGCATGTGTAAGCCAATGACATTTGATTTTGGAAAATAAAAAAAAAGTGAGACATATGCATGTGTCTTGCGTAGAAGACATGTTAGTTAAATTTGTAATAAACTAGCAAAAAAATTCTATAACTGTCGATTAACCAAAAAGAATAAGAAACCAAATCCTATCAACAAATCACCTACAAGATAAAAAAATAGACAGAAGTTGTTAAGACAGTAAAAACTAATTAACCATGCTGAATGAGAACCAAAATAATGAGGATACAATAATATTAGATAGAAATTGTTCATGGTATATAAGATATCATATAGAAGTAGTAGAGGTTAGATATATGCATATTACTCTCCAATGGCGTCCAAAAGCAAGCTGTGGTGGTGATCCGCCACCGTGGACCGAGATCCGAGCGGCAGCTCTCCCATATACACGATATAAGGCTGAAAACATATATGGCAAAGACAAACCCCAAAAGATAATGAGAAATAAAAGAGTGAAATGCAAAAACATAGACTTTTTACCAAAATAAATGAGTTGTTAATTTTTAACAGTGGCAAGGACAAGACTTGATCTTCACTGTTAAGGAGCGAAAACATAATCGAAACCCTAATGTATCAATACCGTGATCTTTGGTTACCTTCCTTTCATGGTGGTCTGAGCCCTGGATCATTAATGAAGCCACCAGCCAAATAACCAACACAAATATAAGTAGATTCTCGTGCAGCTTCATATCTTATTACACACAAAATCACCCCTCTCTCTCTCTTTCTGTGTCTGTGTCTGAATTTTAATGCGGTTTTGGCTTTAATTTATATGAAAAAGGGAAGTAAATTAAGAAGGGTTTCCAATTTGAGTGTCAGTTACTTGAGGATATAGTCTTTGAAGAATGAGATTTTAGGGCCTTGGATTCTGGATTTTTAGTTATCACTCTACTATTTATTCTAAACATTTGTAAGATCAGATCGATCACAACCTTTTTCTATCATCAACTTCTTTTTTTTTTCCTTAAAATAACCCTAATTTATTTATAATAATTATTTCTTAAAGCTTTTGTTATGTTTTTTCATTTTTATTTTGGTGTGATGGGTAATTATAAAGTATATTAGATAATGAATATAAGATGGAACAAAATAAGTAGTATTTTGTTTATACATATTTTTGAGTAGATTTTTCTTGAATCAAGAAAAGGTTTAATTTTGGAGTTGTTAGGGTTAAACCACCAAAAAGAAAATTGCACTTTATTAGTATAGAACCATTCAATTCTAAGTATTTATCTTAACGATGCTTAATATAGTCTTAGGACTCTATATATATGGCGTAAGTTCTCATTCGTCATGTAGAGCTCTCTACTTGGACGTAACATAATCATTGACTCATAGGGATTGACCTAAATCGATGATATCCTAAATGTATTAATTAATTATAATGATAGTAATAACCTATTAAACTACATCCCCACGTGTTATTGTGAAAAAAAAACCCCATATTAAACTACATAACCTGACAGCTTACATTTTTTTTATTTTTGTTATATTTTGCAACTTTTTTGAGCTACTATAGTTTTGTAATGATTTATCTAAAATCTAAATTATGCTCGATTATGTGGTTATACTTATCCCTTCCCTATACCACAATATATTCTTCCCTAAATAAATATATCAATTTTTAACTTGCAATTTTTTAAATTAAAATTTACGTTCATTACTGAATGAATTTCATGTAATTTGATTTTATATTCGAATCTTGTACGAAACAATTAGCACAAAATAATCAGTCAAATCAAGTGTTATTCATGAAACTCATATAAATTAATATATATTAAAAAAAAGCTACTAAAATTTGCCAATCCTAAGCTAAAATTCCATGGGTTTGATTCCCCCACCTAAAAATATCTAGCTCAGAGAGAAAAAAAAACCACTAAAAATTTTATATCATTTTCATGTGAATCAAAATGACATTAATTGAGATATTTTTAGTAAATTGAAACCAGTTTTAATTTCCACTAAAAAAAATTCATCATTAGAACGGAATTATTTCTAAGGAGCCTTTCCTAAAATAAAAATAGTTGAAGAAAACTAAGATAAATATATAATTTCCATATCCATAATTAATAGTAGACCCATTAACTAAAATAATTAAAACGTTGAAAACACTTTAATTAGAAAGCCTCATAAATCAATAAACATGAAAAAAGAATTCGTGTACAAAACAAGTAAAATTATATATAATTTCATATCATTATTTTAGGATACAATTTATAAAAACATGGAGTTCATCATTGATGTTCTTGTTTCTAGTTTTTTTTCTTTCATTTTGTTTTCCTTTGAAAAAAGAAATAAAATTTTATATGATTTTTAGAAATAAAATATTTAAAATTGTGGTGTTACATTTAATTTTTAAAATATTTATTACATTTAATTTTTTAAATATTTATTATCCATCTAATAAGTAAAAAAGATAATGCAGTGCGATTAATCGTTTTTTTCCTTCTTCCCTTCTTCTTCTCTCTCCTCCTTCTCCCCTCGTTGTCTTCCTTTCTCTCTCTCTTTCTTTCTATTTTTCTACGCAATAGTGATGGTATGGTGATGAACAATCAAATATGGCTATCGTCATTACCGAAATGGCCAAAAAGTGAAAGCTTGGTTGGATGCAGTTGAGAGAGGAGGCGAAGTGTTCGCTTCCTTAGTCTCGAAGGACCCAGGAATGGCAAAGAGTCGGTGCACCTCACTCCACAGAGGGACGACATGCCCCCGATCCATCGGTGGGGTTCTGATCGGAACTCCACCAAGAAACCAAGTGTAGATTCTCTCGAGGAGGAACGTGGTTGATCAAGAATGTCAAGGTCGCCATCGAGATGATCAACGCCCTAGGGTGAAACTACCTAAGGTCGAGTGAGAAGTCGCAAGAGGCAGTCGCGATTTGCGCGACGTGATCCATGATCTCTCCCAAGAGCCTCGGAGGCAAGCGACCGCACAAGAAAACCTTAAGTATACCTTCAGTTCTTCTTGAAAATAGTTTGGTAGAGAGTATATTTTTTAGAAATAGTTTAAGAAAAAACAATATAAAAGAAAAGGTCCAAGATAAGTGATCAAACTCTAAAATGAAGCTAGGACACGTGGCACGTTAGATTTAATCCATGAAGAGCTATTTTGTCCATATATAAATATATATTTTTGAATTATAAGTTATTTCGTCGGGTAATTGTGCCTTGTGTCGTATCAATAAAAAAAAAAGTACGGACTGCCACTGCTAGAATAGTAAGTAGTATGAAAAATTGCAGTAGGGTTCTAAAACAGATCTCTTCTCAACCCTACTACTATTATTTCATACTACTTACTAGGATATTTTTTTAAATATTACTATAAATGTATTATTACACGAGACATACAACAAATTTATTAAAAAAAAAAAACTTTCATATTAAGGGTTTTGGTTTTCATGTTAATAGTAGACAAATGAAACCCTCCATAGAAAATGGCGGTGGAAACGTGACAACAGATAAAGGAAAAGATAGAAAGAAGAACACAGAAAAAAAAAGACTCATATAAATTTAGATATTTAATAGTTTAAAAGAGAGAAGAAGAAAGAAAAAGAAGTTGAAGTTGAAGTTCGTCTTGTCTCATTGAGAAGAGTCAGTTTCTTACTTACATATCGTAAAAAAAGAGTTGCCATTTTTTCTTTGCATTTTATAAACTAGTGAGTTTCTTGAGGATAAGATCGCTAGTAGTTTTAGGCTTGGTTCCCAGTAGTTTTTGAAAGGATAAATCTTTAGATGTAGGCGGCCGCATTGTCTTCATATCCATATATATACAATGAGTGATCGCTTGACGGAAGTTGCATTCCATGTGTCTTGAACCCAAGATCTCAAAGTTGTTCTTTAAGACCCCAAACCTCTCAAACTATTCATTAATTAAGAACAATAGGTACATTCTTTTTAACAAAAAGAAATGGTCCCTACTCTGTCTTTTAATAAAAGAATTCGTAATCTTATATTCCTTATCCTTTAGTCCACAGAACAGTTCCCCACTCGCTCTATAGAGTGCTGGGTCTCCAAAGAAAAAAGTAATATACCTCTGGTAGTGCATTAAAGATGTGGAGCCTAGCTAATTATAAATTAGTTGGCTTGATCTATTTAAATGATAAACAAATAATGAGATTGTGAAAAACATGTGTGTTTTATAGGTTATTGATTCCTGCATTTATCTTCCAGAGAAGCAATGATGCTACAAAACGTTATTTGTCATAAAGATATCGCATGGGCACCATGGTCCCAAGAAGAAGCCCGTCCACGTATGATGTGATTGCATCATAAAATAAATTTGGCTAAATTATTAAAGATACTCCACAACTTTATCATTTATTTAAAAAAGTATCTCTATCTTTTAAAAATTTTCAATATATTATCATTGTCTTGTGATAAACCACATCCATTAATATTATAAATAGAAAGTTGATGAGACAGAATCTGAAACGACATGACAATTAACGTAGAATCATGTATGATAATTTTTTTTGAGTACTCCAACATGTGAGAAGGTGGTTATTTGAACATATGTCTTGTTGAAGATCATGTATATCTAACAAGTTAAACCTTGTCTATATTAAGTCTGGAAAGAGAGAAAACGTGGAAGAAATTATCGTTTTTAAAAGGTGATTAAGACCAAATTGGATAGATAATAAAGAAACAAATGCTCTTGACAACAGAAGAAGTTGACTTTAGAATAAAATTAAGACGTTAATTGTCACGTTATTTCAGATTCTATTATGTCAACTTTTCAATAAAAATATTAACAGATGTTCAAAGATTATTTTTAAAACATATATGGAGCTGGAACGCTGGCACCTTGGATCTAGTCGATAGCATATAATTTGATGAAGAGTCATTTTGTCCATTGGGGCGGTAGTTGCAAATGTGACAAAAACATTTAGTAAAATTAGCAAAATAGCAACCATATGTATTTTCTTTTCAAATATAGCACTTATTTTTTCCCAAAGGATAGCTTGGGTGGCTTGGGGTCTCAAGGAATATCCTTGAGGTCTTGGGTTCCAGTCACATTGTAGCTCAACTCTACCAAGCAATGACCCCTTGAGTATGTAACGGGTATGAGGATAGAGCACATATCCCCAAATATAGGGGCATAAAGGCCAAAGGGTCGCCGACTCTGGGTCATAAAAAATATATATATATATATATTTTTTTTTTCTTTTTAAAAAATGGAGGTCCAATTTTAAATTACAATTTTAACCAAATGAATCAATGATATACATCTATAATATATCTGACTAGTGATATATATATGTGATATACATCTAATATACTACAGATATGAGTGTCTAATATACTTGCAGTTTGTATGTGTACTGATATAAGTGTTTTTACAATATATACATGATATATATTTGATATACTACTGATATAAGTGAAAATTTGTGTCATATTTGAAAATTTAGAAAAACATATGAACATATATTTAATTTTGTTATTATTAATTAATGTAAGATTTCCTAAAATATAATAATCATTATTAATTATTATAATAATAAAATTTAATAACATTATTATAATAAAATTTATTAATATTTTATATTAAAGGATGATGAGTCTATTTTATTTTAGTAAATGTAATTTTATTTTAATTATTAATTATTAAATTAATATTAATATTAAATAAATTGTTTTGGTAAAAAAATTTTGACTATCAATAATATAGTAATAAAATAAAATAAATTATTATTGTAATTAAAAAATTAGTACCACA